AAAAAAAGTCCCCATTTTACCCCACCCTCCCCTAAACGAAATTATTCGTCATGAAGATGAAGAAATTCAAAATCATCCAATGATTTGTTCTTATCATTCATTCCGATCATTGATTGACTTCTTCATTCTATGCATCATCATTTCTTATGTATAAAATGCATTGAAATTTACTTTTTCATCACGCTGTGACGAAAAGTGAACTTTTCGGCACGCTCCGCGTGCCTAAAAGTCAAATTTCCGCCACATTGTGATGAAAAATATTGTTCGTAATTCGTGAAAAAATGTTTTTTAGCTCGTGGGACTCGCCTTTGACTCGTGATATAAACCTCCCACTCGCCAAAAAATACTTTTTTGCACTCGTTACGAAATATACTATTTCATTTCCACATAAAATAATAAAGAACTTTTCACGATTTTAATTTAAAAAAAAATTATAATAAATAAATTTTCATGATTTTAATTAAGGAAAGGATCACCGCGCGCCCGCTCCAGTTCAAAACGAGCCAAAAAATCATGGCATAAATATAAAAAATTACGAAACCACGCAAGAATAATGCCTGCGCTTATGAACTCAATTTACGCTCGGTAATATTCACGGCTCGCCGCGGCCAGTAACACGGCAGCTGTGGAGTTAAAATTTCTTTGTCTCCCTGTCCTACCGACCGAGTCCCCTCGCTCCCCTCGCCGTCACCCAAAAAAATCCCCGAAAAATCCTGGGAAAGCTCCACCACTGTCCCCCACTCCTTGCGCCAATTAATTCCCTCATTACTCATAAAATCGTGCACGCGGAGTCTCCATTCTCAACTTCTCCGTTCCCTCATCTCTCGCCTGGTCACAATATGGCGGGTGGTGGGGCCCCACAGTGAGCCCGAGCGGCGAGTGAGTGAACCCCCGAGTCAGTCGCCAGCGAGTCGCACTGTCGGGGCCCCGAGTTGGCGCGACGCGCGTCCTGTATTCGTAATTTTCAATAAAAAAATCCGCCGAGTCGAGCCCCCACCGATCAAACAAATCCCCAAATAACGAGTGGACCCTCACCAACTGATTAATAATCGCCCGATCAATCGATTAACCAGTGGAGTAAATAAAAAAAACATCGGAACGAGTGCAGGATAGTTTCATTGAGGATTTGAGGATTAGGTGAGCGTCTGAGTGTGACAATTCGCTGCTTCTTCCCTTAGTCATAATTTTACTCGCCCTTCGGCTTTTGTGGCTTACATGGGATCGGCGGAAATTTTGTGAACTGAAAAATCGGAAGGTCCGTGGGAGACGTGCGATACATGCCGCCCACCGCCAGCAACAGGCTACCTCACGTCTCGTCCTTCATCTGCCCCTCATTTATTAACAACTGAGTAGTTCCTGAACAAATGCAGATCATCGTGTGGGGAAATAGAGCACAAGTCGCTTGATAAGACGCGCAATGTGCTTGCTCTGGTTTTTTTTTCTTTCGGTTTTATGGTGGCTTTATCTCTCTGAATGTTAAACATGGACATGTGGATGTCGTTTGCATCGTAAGAGAGGATATTGAGAGTTTACTGAGGTGTTAGGGGGCTACAGGGCTATGTAAACTGGGGGGGAATATCGGGATCAGCGCTGGGTTTTGTTAACGCTGTTGCCAGTATTTCAAGACGGTTCTGGTGGAGTGGGCAACTCCCGTTCCCTTCCCACACTGCGGGCACCTTTTCGGGTTGGAGAGTGATTGCATTGCACCTTTCGCTTGCTGGGGGGATACTGGCGGTCGAGTTGGGAGACATTCTTTGAGGGGTTTTGCAGAGTTTTCAGGTGAGGGGAATTTAGGGGAATTTCGCGCGGATTTTTTTGGGGTTGTTGGGGGTCTGGTGGGAGGGGGAGGGGAGGGGAAATGGTTAAAGATTTTTTTGTGGGGGATTTTGGGATCTACGGGAGAGGTTTTTTGAGATTTTGTGGTGAAGCTACTCGGGTAGGAGATATTCGCAGGATAATCTGGGTGAAGTTTTTTATTTAGAGAGGTGAATTGAAGATTGATGTTTGGTTTTTTGGAAATATTTTTGGAGTGAAGAGGTTTTGGGGGAAATGTCATAAGAGATTTTTTGTGGAGGATTCTGTGATCTACGAAACAGGTTTTTTGACATTTTAGGGTGAATTTGATGGTTTAGGAGATATCTGGAGGATAATGTGGGTGAATTTGTTGATTTGAGAGAGGAATTGAAAATCAATTTCTGGTTTTTTGGAAATATTTTCGGAGTGAAGAGGTTTAGAGGAAAAATGCATAATATATTTTTTGTGGAGAATTTTGTGATCTATAAAACAGGCTATCTGACATTTTGCCGTAAACTTACTGGTTCAGGAGATATTTGCAGGATAATCTGGGTGAATTTCTTTATTTGGAAGGTGAACTTCAAGTTCTTTTGGAAATATTTTTGGAGTGAAGCGCTTTAGGTGGAAATATCACAAGATATTTTTTGTGGAGGATTTCATGATCTACGAAACAGTTCTATTGACCTTTTTTCGTAAACTTACTGATTTAGGGGATATTTGCAGGATAATGTGGGTGAATTTTTTTATTTGAGAGTGGAATTGGAGGTGAACTTCAAGTTCTTTTGGAAATATTTTCGGAGTGAAGAGGTTTAGAAGGAAACCTCATAAGATATTTTTTGTGGAGGATTTCATGATCTACAAAACAGGTTTTTTAACATTTTATCATAAACTTACTGGTTTTGGAGATATTCGCAGGATAATCTGAGTGAATTTTTTGATTGGAGGGATTAATTAAACATCAATTTCGAATTCTTTTGGAGATATATTCGGAGTGAAGCGGTTTAGGGGAAATCATCATAAGACATTTTTTGTAAAGAATTCCGTTATCTGCAAAAAAGTTCCTCTGATATTTCGTCGTAGGATCACTCATTAGTGAGATGATTGCAGAATGGATGAAAATGTCATGTTTGATCTGGGAATTCAGTGTTTTGAGAATATTTTCGGAGTGAAGGAGTTTAGGGGAAAAGAAGCTTCTGACATTTTTCCCAAACTGGTCTTTTCAATGTCTGCAAAACAGTTTGTATGCAAATTTTCATTGGAGAGATGAATTAAAGTAGCTTTACACCACTTCAAGTTTGAATTTTGCAACTAAATTGCGTGAGAAAATTTATAAAAATTAATACGTAATTAATATAATTCAAATCACATTTTGCAAAAAAAAATATTTTTCCAACACTTTCTTCTCACAAATAAATAATGGAATTTGCTTGCAAAACTGTTGATAATTTTTTATGAGGTTCAAAAATTTTTCATTTTTTTTCACATTCAAAGATAACTATGATTTTAGCCTTCAATGACATTTCCGAATCCAACAGAGTTTGCTGGGAATTCTTTCCAGTTTCTAATCATCTTTAAATTCATCGTAAGGGCAGAGCCCCTCCAAAAATGGAAATTTCGAGTTTTTCCGAAGCTATTTTTGGAGTGAAGAGGTTTAGGGGAAGCTTCAAGAGACCTTTTCTAAAGAAATTCACATAATCTAAAAAAAATCCCTCTCCACATCCTTCTCTAGCCCCCCTTGTCCCGAAGATATCCCCCGCACAGACGAACCAAATCCATCTCTTCATGCGCTTAAAAATTCCCCAAATTTTATGATTCACGAAAACTCAAACACTTCCGGGGTTCCAAGCGTCACCTGGAGACGCCAGAGAGTCTCCTCCCAAAGATATCGCGAGTAAACCCACGATAAGGAGTAGAAAGATTAAAATGTTTCCCAGGTTTTCCCCTAAATTTCAAGATTTTCTTGCTTATCGTTTCCAAACAATTCTCTCCACCGGAAAAAAAATTCCCAAAAAAGTCTTGTTCGAATAAAAAAAAATCGTAGGTTCAGAATCACTAAGAAAATAAAATCTAGTGCTGACCATTTGAAGACTGTCCCGAGATGACAAATTTTTGTCGCAAAAATAAATTGAGTTGTTCCAAAAAAATTGGATTCTCTGTGCAAGTTATGAATGACATTTGCTCCCGGAAAATGTTCGTTTTATGCGAAACAAGAGCCAGTAGTTCTTTTTTCGACTATTCAATAATCACAGACCAGAAATTAATTTTTCAATAAAATAATAACGATAATAACGAAAATATTTCTTGATAAACTTGAGACGTGTAAATTCGAGTAAATAATTCTTTTCTTGTTATTTTTGTCGCAATAATGGATTGAGTTGTTCCGAAAAATTTGAATTTTCTGTGAAAGCAACGAATGCCATTTGCTCCCGGAAAATGTTTGTTTTATGCGAAAGACGGTCCAGTAGTTCTTCGTTTCGACCATTCCATAATCACAGACCAGAAATTAATTCTTCAATAAAATAATGATGATGACATGATAGCAATCCTCACGTTGGGGATAAAATAGTTCTTGATTGACTTCCCTTTACAGAAGATATTTACATTGTATGATTAACACTTTCAAATTCGAATAAAACAATTTCTTTTTTTGTAATTTTTGACTTGCGATTTTTTTTTCTCCGAACAGGACTTGTTTGAGAATTTCCTCGTTTTATTCTCGTTCTCCGTGTACCATCTCGTCAATTATTCTCATTTATTAAAGGCCTCGAGGCTCATTCAATTCCGATTCAATTGGGAAGAGTTATGTAATGTCAAAAGAACGAGCCTCAAGACAAGAAAAACTTCTTAAAGTCGTGTGGATAGACTCCAGTTGAGTGTATCGGGAAACAGTAAATTAAAAATCCTCAAAAAAACGTAATAATTTATCGTTGATAATTTTTTATATGAATTCTAACTTTGATGAGTGTAAGAAATTAGTCCATCAATATCTTCCTTTAGCATAGACTTAACCAGAATATTTCTATTTATATTATCTTCTGTTTAGGATTTTGAAAATATTTTAATCTTCAAAATTTGATTTATATTTATACTAATGTAGGGATGTCCAGGTATTTTTTACAGTTTGGTATAGACTACACTTGAGATTGATTCATTCATTTTCAATAATCAAATTTGTCAATTAAATTGCGTGAGAAAAGGTGAAAAAAGATCATGAATATTCTGCGTCATTCAAATGCCATTTTGCCCAGAATTATCCATTTTTTAAACATTTGTTGTTTATAAATAAGTAATAATAATAAAAAAAGTAATAATAATTGTTTAAATTTTCGGAAACCTTATTTTTTAGACATGAAATCCATTTCTGGTAAAATTCTGAATATGAATAAATTTGTTACGATTTCGAACAAAAGATTCTTATAATGGAAAATTGATTGTTTACAAATAATTGTCAGAAAATGCTCGAAATTTTCAAAAATTGTACTTTTTAAATTATTCCACCAATCTTCCCCAGAAGTAAATTTTCTAATTTTTTTCTATTCTAAAATGTTTTCAAATGCAGACGTGCAAAGTTTAAATAACAAAATCATTGCAAAATGTCCAGAAACTTCATCAAATGGGTCTCAAATGAAAGCTCCGATGTTCGACAGCAAAAGTAGAAAAGCACTTCACTGAAGAAAAAATAGCCAAAGTGCTTGGATATCCTTAAAACCCAGTTTTAGTGGAAAAGAGTTGCACCCACGCAGCCCCTCATGCATGAGTCCGTGTCGAGTATTCGAAGCGTATCTGTCGGTATTCCCACGTGAAGATCTCCCAGCCCTTCATTGTTCTCGTTTTGGCAGCTTCAGGGCAGCGGAATGCCGTCGAAAAACCCGTTTTACGTGTTTTTCCCCCACATAACGATCTCCACCGATTTCTCCCATTTTTTTTTCAACTCCAAACGCGTCTGGGGGAGTCGGAAAAATTGGAGACACTCGAGGCGATGCGGAGAACTAACTGTACGCTGATTACACATTGTAAATGCCATAACACGCTCTACTCGAAAGATCGTTGTCCTTTCACCGTGGAGAAATGGAAATCACGTGGAGTTTATGAAACCCCTGATGTATTGTCGTTTGAAACACCGGAGGAATGATCCATCTACACTGAGAGAAAAACGACAAAGTTCTCAAACAAGTCTTACTTGTGCCAAGAAAATAGTTTTTTGAAAATTATCAAAAAATGATTTTTTTGTGCCAAACATGCAGAGAGTGCGCCGGAATAAAAAATTTTCGTCGCAAAAACAGATTTAGTAGTTAAAAAAAAATTGCATTCTCTGTACACGCAAGAATGTCATCTCTTGCACT